CAATACATTTGAATAAGAAATTCTGTGCAATCAAACACATTACACGTAGCTCTAGAGTAATGAAAGATTGCCCTAACTCAGTGGCCGGGTTAGATTTTGCATGAGATTTTGTGGCTAAATTGCTATGCGACATATTTCAAACAGTGGCGTTTGTGTACGCTTCTCACAGATTTGTTTTGAGCACAGGGTGAGCCCTTTTCATGTGAAGCTGGCCTAAAAGAAAGCTCTCAACTTTTGGTGTTAGTTGTTGCTATGAGAGTAAATCTCTGGCAATTCTCAAAGGACATGAGCCCCGATCTATTTCAGGCCGTTCTCAACTGCTGAGGGTGATCCCGAGGGGTGGATAACCAACTGCTTTCACACAGTCATGAGCCTATATGCTTAACCCAAAACACCGGAGGCCCCTCTGCCCTGATGTTAAGGTTTAACATGGTACTGGAACAAAAACAGCTTTCTAATGGGGAAGCATCGTAGTTTCTCCCAGCAGCGGCAGAACCTGACTCATCTCTCATCTCTTAATAGAAGCACATTACATGCATCGATGCGAAGCAAAGAAGTTATCTGAACTCATCTGGACTCAGAGGTCAGGTCTGCGCTCTGTCAGATTGCATCACTTTCCCATCATCCGGTCACCCTTGTGTCCACACTTCCTGTCTCACAGCTGGCCTGCCAAGTCTCCCATGACCCCTTGCTGCTATGCTGCTGTCTTGTTTCGAGAGAATCTAGGACAGCTGGGATGAGATGCAGTCCCGTGGGTTTGAGTTGCCGTGGTTCAGTGTTAAAAAAAGGGGCACAAGCGCGTATTCATCGGTTCCGCCGTCGCTCCTGCACTGTCCGCTGTGGAGCCGACCGGCCCCCGTGACCAAAATGTGAGTTTTGGTGCAAGTTGGAGGAAGCGCAGCAATGCCAGAGGGGCTGAGTGAGCAGCGAGCACACAGAGCACATTCCAGAAGGCAGCAGAGGCTGTGATTTTAGCAGGCTGTCACAGGGATTAGGTTACTCTGTCTGCCTCTGTGAGCTCATGCTGTTGCTGTCTCAGTGCCTCAGCAATCCTGTTGAGCAGTGGCACTACACTATTTGCTCCCAGTGCGCAGGGAAACAAGGATCCGTAATTGTTCTGATTGGCTCGTTTAGATTATACAGTGTTCCGTTGTTTTGGCTTCGTTTTTTTACGAAGAACATGTCAGTCTGTAAGTCAGAGCAGTTCACTGGAAGCCACGCTAATAATATCCAAGTCCCTTGCTTCTTATGCATATTTCGAGTGTTGTATATCTGTGTCGTGCATTATCCGATAAGCCACTGGGTGTGCTCTTTGACTAGAATCTCCACTTGTGTTTTTTTTCTCACTGAGACACAAGGGGTTGTGGCAGCAGCTGTAGACTGCAGGATGTGGTTATCTCCTGTCACTGTTGTTTCATAGTAGCTCGCAAAGTTGCAAACTGCATCTCTATTACACCACTGCAGTTGTTGTGGTCTAGCGGTTTACAGTGCTATTATATAATTGTATAAATAATACAGAAATACACTATGGTTTTTAAATATTAAAGATAAACCAAATTTGGGTTGGTGGTCTGTCGCTGATGGTGAAACACTTGTGACCAATGTTAGCACTCTCGAGAACACAAGTGTATCCCTGATAGTAACACTGGTTGACCTGTCACAGGCCCACAGCTGCGGCTATGAGAGAAGATAAGATGGGCCTACTCTATCAGCTTGGTATGTAGCAGTTAACTGTGCTGTATCATTTGCATGACACAAATAGGCTTACCTCTAAATGTGTGAAACTGTTCTGTCATGCAGTGGTATTGTCACTGTGACCACACAGAGTTTAGTTTTGTTACCTGTGACCTTAACGCTTTCTGTAAGCATGGAGCTGAAAACATCAAATAGGACCCAAATGATGATTACATTATCACCAATCAATTAATTGTTAAATTGTATATATTTTTTAAACACATTTTTGTTCCAGCTTCCCAAATGTGAGGATTTGCATATATAATTTGCAGTATTTCATTGGAAATGAAATATTGTTTGGTTTTGTACTGCTGTTCAGACCAAAAAGCAGAAGAGATGGCTGTTTTTTACAATTTTCTGACAAATTGTCGACTAAACAATAATCCATAGTTTCATTGCTAATGAAAATAATAATGAGTTGCAGCCCTAATCAGATATACTGCTATTAAGCTGCCCAACTCAGTGTTCCCCTACCATAGTAATAGTAATAACTAGGGGGGGCCACTGATTTGCAGTATTATGGGAGCTGTAATGAAGTCATCTGCTGTTAAAATAGTATTTGTATGCTGGTGAACCACAATCTCTTTTTGTGACACTTACAGAAAGTGCTTCCTTAAACTGCTGTAATGTTTTGTTAATTTAAAAACAAATGATCAGGATGTTTTGTTTTGGTGCGTTTCTGTTAGCATCTCACTTTCGAGTATTGCGAGGAAGAATCCACAGTTAGCTGGGAAAACCCTGCAGTCACCACGAGCCACCAGATTTGACCACCTGTCTCCCATCCCCTGCGGTCTGGTTGCCCTTGTTGACAACCGCCAAGCTCGTGCACACACATTCTGTTTTTGCTTTATGTCTGGTACCCAAGTTATTTTCAGAGCTAGACACGCTTCTGCAAAACATCTATACGACTAGTTACTCATTACAAGGGTCATGTGCTATTTGACGGGGAGTGGTGATTCATTACATCATTACATCTGTGACAATCTTTTCCTAATTTCCAAATCTGTGTCCTTTGTACCTTTTTAACATCCTGGATGATTTCCCTTCACGCACAATCGTAATAATCACCGAACAGCTTTGTTTTATTACATTTTTTAAAGTGTCAAATACAAGACCACATTGCTGTCACCAATCCAACTGACATTTGATTGTTGCATCTTTGGATTCGAGGCCTTTCTGACTAAAAAACCGTTGGTTTAGTGTGTTTGCTTGAACGGTAAACACGTGAAGCTCTTGTGCAGTTTTTCAGTAACTTATTATTGGTTTTATATGAGACAGAAAGTTAAAAAGAACGGAAGCACAAAAACCAGACCGTGGAGTTGTGTATGGATTGAGCACCCGACCTGTTCATTCTACCAGGCAGTGGGTAAACGGAGATCCACTGTGGATATGACACCGTTTGAGCAGTTTGACCTGTCTGACCTTGTGTTTAGTGCTGTTGGAGAGGCGTGTGGCCTCGCCGCGGTCTGGAGCCGCGCGAATAGCTCGGAGCATCTGTCGCCCAACTTTTTGATCCTCCCTCACATCTGCAGTATCGTCAGTCACTGCGGCGTTAATGTGCACTTAGTGCTCAGCCACTCTAGACGTGGGGGGTGATGGCAATTCAAAGAAGTGAGACTGGGGATCCAGCTTGCTTTCTGAAAATGGGAGATAGCTGGGAAAGGGATAGCCCTGCGCTGACCATTCTGTCATGCACCGGTACGGAGAGTATAAAGTGGGGGGAAAAAAAGAGGTTAGTAAGAGAGGGATGTTGTAAATGGAGAAGGAGCACATATACACACTTGTCAGCCTCTTTGGCAGACAGTTCTCCAGCCCAGCCCAGGGAGTGGAGAGATTGTTGCCTTTGTCTTTGTGAAAGGCAGCACTCGAGGAGAGTAAATCAGCTCTTTGTTTTTGTGTGCCGCTCCCTAACATGTCTCCCAGTGTTCATTAATTTAATTAGAGATGGAAAAGGAGCAGGCAATAACATGCCACGAGATAAAACCACAGTATACACCCTAATGTGTTCTGGTAAACAAAGTCAACAACACCCCACAGGGGGACACCAGACCACAGGTGTCCCCCTGAAAGCCAGTTTGGGATCTTTTATGTTACACATTTTAGCTTAATGCTCTTGTCATGGTCTTGAACAGTATAATATGAGATGTGGAACCACCTCATCAACATCTTGACTTGAAGTTCCTCTCAGCTCTTAGCCTCTGCTTATTTACTGTTTATTTGACTCCTCTTGGCTAATCATGCTGAAAGTAAGCTTGGCTCCTTGTGTTTGCCTAAGATCAGGTTCGGGGCCTATCTGAAGGCCAGCTGCAGCTGAAACCTAGACACCACTGCTTCAAATAAAAAAACCAACATCTCTGAGATCAATGAGGTCAGTGTCTGGTCCCTGAAGTCAGTCGGGGGTGGGGGGGGGTGAAACTCCATCCACTCCCATGACATCAGAGCAGCTAGACAGCCACTCCAGTCGTGTCTCACTCCTTCAGTTCTGCAGTATTAAGCTAAGCGTAGCCTAGCTGCGCCGATGGCTACGTGGGTCATAAGACCAGCTGGTTGTGAATGTGCTCATTGTTGAACACAAACAAGTTTGGATTGTGGATCACAGTACTCTCCCGAATGATAATTTTAAAACGACCGGGGAACTTGAAAGTTCTTGTGATAAGCAACATGGCAAACAATGGAGCCATGCTTGTAATGCGGGTCACATAATCACTGCATTTGCATAGACTGCACACTTAGGAGTATTTGTAAGCCTGTGCTAAATTTAAAGCAATAGCCGACATCATTAGTGGTCAGTGAGGGCTTCTCTCCCCGATGTAGCCATGCTGCTGACGCACACTGCCCCTCTTCTCTACTGCCCTGTTACAGTAATCTTTGCCATCTTCCTGCCTCCCAGGTTCATGTTTGATGCCTGACACAATAGACAATCGTTGGACTGCTTCAACGAGAGGAAATCATCCCCTCTGTAAATTTCAGAAGAATGTGGATACTGAGAGATTGGCTCTATACTCTGGCAGCGGTCGGTGTTGAAGACTGAAAAGAATAGTCATTTATATCTGTTATTTCGAGAGTACAATTGGTGGGGGGGAAATCATGTCTGAAGAGACTAAACTGTGGAAACGGTAGCTGGCAGTTCTTCAGGACGGTATAATTGAATAACACTGCCCATGTCTTGGCATGAATACACCATTAGTAAAGTATCACATGGACAGTTCTTGAGTATTACTGGATCGATTTGTAATTCTCTTGCATTTTCTCTGTTCCTTTCCCAGGTCAACAGAGACGTATCAGAGCCCTTGAAGTTCTCAGCTTTGATGCAGTACAGGTACAGCCATCTATTTCCAAACACACTTTCTAAATTTACTTTTGGTGTGACTCTTACAATACCCTGTAAATGTGTGTGGAGAAAACTGCACAGTTGGAGAATAAAATGTGTATGAAGGCTGGGTAGATGAGGAAGATACGTCAGTTCAAAGGAAATGTGAGTCAAATCAGGCTTTTTTTCGCAGCTGTGATTGTATAACTAAATGCTTACTCACTTGTCATTATTTAAAAAAAAAAACAACCAACCACTTCCGCTCAAATTTCTGGAAGGAGTCTAATGTTTCATTAAATCAGGAACTGTGACATCACCCTGTCTATCAGTGTATGTAGTAGAAATTGAGGCTTAACTGTATTGCTGCACATAAGTACACCCTGGCCCAGACTGTGGAATAGACTTTTTACTGATCAATTCAAGTTTTCTGTATTGTACAATATTAACTCTAGCCATTCTGACGTCTATTCTTTTGTCTCCTCCTCTCACTCCACCAGTGCACCTAGTGCAAGATGACGGAAGAGGTGATTGTCATCGCCAAGTTCGACTACATGGCCCAGCAGGACCAGGAGCTGGACATCAAGAAAAACGAGCGCCTCTGGCTCCTAGACGACTCCAAGTCCTGGTGGAGGGTTCGAAATGCCACCAACAAAACAGGCTTTGTGCCGTCCAACTATGTGGAGAGGAAAAACAGTGCCAGGAAAGCTTCTATTGTCAAGAACCTCAAAGACACACTTGGTAAAACATTCTGTTATGGTCTCTTCAGTTTACGAGTGTTAATTTAATAAGTTATTTAATAAATTAATAATCAGTATTTGCACTCTAAACATATATCTTCAGTCACTCATAACGTCTTTCTGATTGAGACTTCCTTTGTGTTTCACACACAATTGGTTCTTGTTCTTCAACCTAAATGAAGTAGCAACAGACACCATCTTTTATGTAGGCCGGCACTTGTTTTTGACCACATTGTTGTGGTCTCTAATGTACTGTATAACACAGGAAGAAGTCTCAGACTGATGTCTGATTGGTTGAAATGCTGAGAGCTACTTTCTTTTTACAGTGCACTTAGACTGAAGCTTTAGTATCTGATAGGAGTGTCTAATGCACGGTGCCGTTTTTTCATTTTACCTTGAAGCATTTACAAAGGTAAGGCACATTTCTATATTTATTTTAGGTTGAATGCAGGTTAGGTACAGATGCAAACAAAGTTAGGATTTTAGTTTCATAGCTTTGGGCACAGAAAGAAATCCAGGTAGTCTGTTTTGGGCTAACACATCTAATGATCTCCACTTTCTGATTGTGTGAGAGCAATCGCTACAGAGGGTATCACGACCAGAATTGATACGGCACAGGTGTTGTCTGCTCTGTCAACACAACAGTAATATTTCTGGGCACTGCCTGGAGAGAGCCAAATGTAACTGTGTATGTAAGCCAAGGTTAGCATTTGTCTTAGTGTAATTCTACTTGATGACAGACGTTCATGATCATTTGGGATATACACTCTTAGCACTGGCATCCAGTCTGGAACACAGCCAGATAGCCTGGTATTGGTTTTGCTATGATTTTATAATTTCTCTTAAGAGCATGATGGGATAACCACGTTTGTTGGTATACTTTGGCTGTGTTTGTTTGGCGCAGATCTCATTAGATTTGGCTGGAGGTTGTACGCCAGCATTTCCTGCACACTAAAACAGACCTGCATGATATTGACATGCAGGTCTGTTTAAGTGTGCGGGAAATGCAAATGTTGTGGATCTGTTTTGTAAAGGCTACAAGTTGTTGTGATTTTGATACGCAGTACTCTATAATCATTGCCAGTTTTTAAAATATTTTTGTGAAGCTGAAGTACAAAGCCAAAGCCAGCAGCTGCTGTTTATAGGCCCATTTGATAAAAAGCACAACATCAAAACACACTTGTGAGACTGACAAAACAGCCTTATCTAAACTTTGATGTGGTGATGACGTGGTGATGACGTACTGCTGCATAGGGTGACCTGTGCGAGGAAGCCCTGAGCCCCAAAGTGGCTTTTCCTTAAAATGGGAGGGGAGTTCTGGCAACCAGAAGTGTGTCATCATAAGTGTATCGCACAGTGCAGTGTTTGCAAAACACTTATCTGTTGACTCTGTCTTCCTGTTAGCTGCGCAGTGTTTTGTTTTTTTAAATACGTGTATGTTACGAGAAGAGGCTGTTGACATTCTCATTCATTCTTTTGCACTTTTTGTTATGTTCCTCGTAATATGTTTTGTTATTGCTGGACTCAAGCATATATACATTGTGTAACTGCTGTACTTCTAGTTTGTCCAGTCTGTAAAAACATATGCGTGTGTGTGTGTGTG